TGTGTGTGTGTGTGTGTGTGTGTGTGTGCACAGGAGTGTGTACTGGTACACACATGTGTTAGTGTGTCAAGGCCAGAGGCTGATAACAGGTATGTTCTGAGACAGGGTCTCTCTGAGCCCGGAGCTCACTGATTTAGCTAGACAGATTGTTAACCACAAGCCCCAGCCGTGAGAGTCCAGGCACTCCCCAGTGCTGGCTTTTCACATGGGTGCTAGGATCCAGGCTCAGATTCTAAAGTTAGTGTGGCAAATCCTTTCTCCGGCTCCTGAACTGAGACATTTTAGTTCCACAGCTTTTGATACTGAGATCAGCATCATGTCCCACGCCAAGCATGCGCTTTGTCACTGAGCTATGTCCCTAGTTCTGCTTTCTGATTCCAGAACTCAGGGTGTTCTTCAGTACTGGGGGGAAGGGAAGGAAGTCGAGACAGGAGGAAGGAAGGAAGGAGAGAAAGAAGAAAAGAAAGAGCTGTGGCTGTAGCCCACTTTGTGTGGCGTTTGGATGAGATGTCGCCCGTGTGGGTCGCTGATAAAGTCCTGAGCCATTGTGTTCTGTTGACACGGGCTCTGCCATGTCAAGGATCTTGATGCCTCGGATCTGTGGAGACTGGGCATGCTCATGGACTAGACAGAGCCTTCCTCTCATTGGTGTGTGCTGTCATCCACAGCTTCCTCCCGGGGTGACCCCAGCCCGAGACCACACACCTACAGAAACCTCCTCCGGTGAACAGCTAGGCCTGCCTGCTTGTTCAGCTGAATCCCATCGACCTGCTGCCTCCATTCAGAGGTATAAAATAAACACTTGGAGCTTTTCATATGCTATTTTTGGTAGTATATCTCCATCAGCGCTCACGGCCCACCTGGCCTCAGCTCTCCTGTGGGTGAGTCTGTCTGTCCTTTCTTCATTTTCTTATGGCCCCAGAACCAAGGCACAAAGGACTCAGTGTCCTAGAGTATTCACATGCTTGGTCTGCGGTTGGCGGTGCCATTTGGGCAGTTTAGGAGGGGTGGCCTCGCTGGAAATATGTGACTAAAGGTGGCATTTGAGCACTCAAAGGCTCACACTCTCCAGTTTGCTCTCTGCTTGGTGCTCAGGATGTGAGCTCTCAGCCGTCCCTGCCGCCATGCTTCCCACAGCGATGGCAATGGGCTCATCCCACTGGAACTTTCTAATAAAGCTCCCTTAGTCAAGCTGTTTTATCATGGCAATAGAAAACTAAGATACAGCTGGGTGGTGGTGGTGCACTTCTTTAATCCCAGTACTCGGGAGACAGAGACAGGTGGATCTCTGTGAGTTCAAGGCTAGCCTGGTCTACAGAGAGAGTTCCAGGACAGCTCCAAAGCTACAGAGAGAGAAACGCTGTCTCAAAAAAAAAAAAAAAAAAAAAAAAAAAAAAAAAAAAAAGAAAAGAAAACGAAGTCACTTGATAGGAGTTTGTTGAGCATGCATGAGCCCCCGATGAAGGGACACTAGCCTTGCCCTTTTCCCCAATTCCCGCTGCCTTGCTACAAAACGGGTTACATTTCTAAAGCTAGCCCCCAATGTCTATTCCCTTTATTAGAACACTGCTTCCTCCTGAGGCTGACTACCAAGGTTCAGTCACCAAAGAACTGAAGTCCAGCAATCAAAAGCCCCCTTTGGCTCACCTAACTAACACGCCCAATCGAGATATACTTCCCCATCCTAGAACTGAAGTCCAGCAATCAAAAGCCCCCTTTGGCTCACCTAATTAACACGCCCAATCAAGATATACCTCCCCATCCTAACCCACTCTAACTCAGACCTCCCCTTTTCCTCACCTTACAAATTATAGCTGTAGCCAGGCGGTGGGGGCACACACCTTTATTTTTTTTTTTTTATTTTTTTTTTTTAAATGTTTATTTATTTATTATGTATACAAAAGTCTGTCTATATGGATGCCTGCAGGCCAGAAGAGGGTCTCATTACAGATGGTTGTGAGCCATCATGTGGTTGCTGGGAATTGAACTCAGGACCTTTGGAAGAACAGGCAATGCTCTTAACCCCTGAGCCATCTCTCCAGCCGGGCACACACCTTTAATCTCAGCACTGGGGAGGCAGAGGCAGGGGAATCTCTGAATTTGAGGTCAGCCTGGTCTAGAGAGTGAGTTCCAGAGAAACCCTGTCTAGAAAAACCTCAAAGCAGAAGGGTGGTGGGTGGAGGGAAGGGATGGGGGGATTAAGGAAAATACGTAAACTATTAAAGATTGTTTCCTGCCCATGTCAATACATATAACGCTCGGCCGGGTGATGGTGGCGCACGCCTTTAATCCCAGCACTCAGGAGGCAGAGGCAGGCAGATCTCTGTGAGTTCAAGACCAGCCTGGTCTACAGAGCTAGTTCCAGGACAGGCTCTAAAGCCACAGAGAAACCCTATCTCGAAAAACAAAACAAAACAAAAAAAATACATATAACGCTGAGTCTCTGATGTCATTGGCTCTGCCTAGCTGTTTCTAGCGTGCTAGGGAAGGGATGAGGTTCAGCATTCCAAGTCTACAGTCTCTCTCTCCTCTCTCTCTTTCTCCTCTTTCTCTCTCTCTCCCTCCTCTTCTCTCTCTCCTCTCTCTCTCTCTCTCCTTTCTCTCCCCCTCTCTCTCCTCTCTCTCTCCTCTCCTCTCTCTTCTACCTCTCTCCCCCTCTCTCTTTCTCCTCTCTCCCTTCTCTTTCTCCTCTCCTCTCTCTCCTACCTCTCTCCCCCTCTCTCTCCTCTCTCTCTCTCTCTCTCTCTCTCTCCTCTTTATTTATTTTCATTTTATGTGTATGCATGTAGGTCTGTGTATCACATGTGCTCAGTGCCGGAGGAGGCCAGAAGGAGCATCAGATCCCTAGAACTGGAGTTGCTTATGGCTGTGAGCCACAGTGTAGGTCCTGGGAACTGAACAGGTGCCCTCTGGAAAAACAGCAAGTGCTCTTGACTGCAGAGCCATCTCTCCAATCTTCTCTTTGGGTTTGTTTGTTAGTTAGTGCCAGGGATGCAATCTCTGACTTCCTGCACGCTAAGTAAGCATTCTGTCTCTGAGCCACTTCCTGGGCTCTGTCTGCGGGTCTCAGGCATCCACCAAAAGATGGGATTGTACAAAAAGGCAATGGCCTTAACTTCCAGAGTCTTCTTATTGTTGCAACTGAATTGGAAAATATGGGCTGGCTGGAGGGCTGGACGGGACAGTGACTGGCTAAGAGTTATTTTCCTTCCTGGGCCCCCAATGCAAACCTCAGCCGCACCCAGCTCTACCCAGCTTCCCGCCAGGCCCTACAGCTTAGCCACAGGCTCTGCGCAGACTCCCAGGCTCCCTCTGGGAGGAGGGGAAACAAGCTGCGCTGGAAAAGGGCAGGAGGAGGGCGGTGGGCCTCTTCCCTCCTGGAGCGCCAGAACCTGGCCGTGCTCGGCTGCCAAGAGCAAGGGAGGCACAAGCCCATTCTCGGCCGCTTGTTTGCGCTCTGGAGCTCATTTTCCCACAGAAACAAAGCTTCCGCGGAGGTTGGCTCCTTGCCTGGCTCCGGGGAACTGTATTGAGTTCACAGCTACAGCCTCAAACCTTCACCCCTCCACATTGTCTGCTTCTAGCTGGGGCTCTAACGGGAGCCTCTGAGACCACAGACCCATCGGCACCTCTGCCGAGGTCCTGGGGCTGTGGGAACTGGAGCCCACAGAGAACATATTTTGTTTAAACTTTTTTTTTCTTTTTCCCTTTTGGGGGGTGCTAGGGATCTACTCAGGGCTTCTTGTTGCTAAGGCATGTGAGAGTCATCCCCAGCGCTATTCGCCTAAATCATGGGGTGGAGAGTGTCCTGAGCAGGGCTTTCTCCTTCATAAAAGGTGACAGGCCAGATCCATAAACCTCTAGTTTTTTTTCTCTTTTTAACGGTGGTATATGCCTACAGTCCCAGAACTTAGGAGTCAGAGGCAGGAGGGCTTCCAGGACTGGAGGCCAGCTGGGGCTACATAGCTCATTCCAAAGATCATGTGGGCTGCAGAATGAGACCTTGTCATTAAAAAATAAAAAGTTTTTAAAGAAACCTTTTGTTTTTGTTTAAGTCAAGGTCTCATGCAGGTGCTGGTGGTGCACATCTTTAATCCCAGCACTTGGGAGGCAGAAGCAGGGGATCCCTGTGAGTTCGAGGCCAGCCTGATCTGCAGAGTGCGTTCCAGGACAGCAAGGACTAAACAGAGAAACCTTGTCTTGAAAAACCTAAAAGAAAAAAAAAGAGGTCTTTCTCTATAGCCCAGGTTGGCATAAGCATCTAATATCCAGCATCTCAAGTACTGGAGTCCAGGTGTGAGCTACTACTACTCTGGGCTTCAAGCAGTTTTGACTATAACAGATTAAATCATTGGCAAGACTGGCAAAAGGATAGACCCCCCTCGCACTGCCCGTGTGGCAGTGGTGGCCACATCGTGTTGCTGTATTTCTTCCTACTTGTTCCTGGAGAGACGCCGGAAACACGCACACACACAGGGCTAGATACACCTAGATATACCCACCCCCACACAAGGATTCAACCAGGCAGACATAAATACACCCAGATACACACAACATACATGCATGCCTGCATACACACATGCAGACACTAACTCACCCTAGCATTCACTTAAGGTCTCGGAGGAAGTGCAGAGCTGTGTGTGACATTCCAGACTGGAAGGGGGTGTGTGAGTGGTCTGAACCCTAGGCCTTCTCAGCGGCCCATGCAGCCAGTTGTGGGCAAGCCAGCACCCCCTCTCCTCCATTTTGAGCTATAAAAGCTGTATCATGGGGACTTGGGATGATGAAGCTTCTCTCTTTCCCTTTTTTTAAAATATTTATTTATTATGTATACAATATTCAATCTGTGTGTGTTTGCAGACCAGAAGAGGACAGCAGACCTCGTTACAGATGGTTGTGAGCCACCATGTGGTTGCTGGGAATTGAACTCATGACCTTTGGAAGAGCAGGCAAAGCTCTTAACCACTGAGCCATCTCTCCAGCCCCCCTCTCTTTCCCTTTTTTATATTAATTTATTTAATTTGCGTGTGTACACATGAGCATGGCTGCACGCATGCCAACCACAGTCCAGGTGTGGGAATCAGAGAGAGCAGCTTGCAGGTTTGCAGGAGTTGGTCCCTCTTCTACCATGCGGGTTCTGGACATCAGACTCAGGTCATCGGGTTTGACAGCGTTTACCAACTGAGCCATCCCGTCACTTAAGCTTCCGTGACAGTCTCTGGAAACTGAAAGTCATTCTACAAGCAAGATACTTATGAGTGGCTGAAACCACAGCCATGATGGTGGAGCCTGATCCCAGCAGGGAAGTTTCAGCCTGTGAGGCCCTTGCCTGCCGTACTTACATTCCAGGCACGCCAGGGCTTTCTGCGCTCCCTCAGGCGAGCAGAGGGCTGCCGCAGCAGGAATATGTGGTGTGCAACATGCCCCGCTGGGGGAGGAGAGAAGACAGCGCAGGTGCCCTGGGATGCCAGGGCTCTGAGGAAGATGGAGGCTGTTCGCAGGTAAAAAGAGAAGACTTCTGACAGTCCCCCGCAGTTAGATGTACTGGGCTCTGTGGGACCTGTGGTTGCCATGGGAACAGGCCTAGGAACACAAAGCAGCAGGAGCAGGGAGGCCCCACCCGGAAAAAAAACATCCTGGTTGCTGGGGCCAGGCAGCTTCTGTGGGAGGGGTTATTTTTAGCAGTTTAGGCTGCTGGGGCTGGACTTGTAGGGCCTTGCTGTCTGGCTGCAGAAAGCACCCATTGTCCTGTCTGACCTTGTATAGCTGCTGGGAGGCCTCTCTGTCTGCCCCTTGGTCTCTGGGGTGCACCAGGGTTACAAAGAACCTGGAGAGGGAGCTGGCCTGGAAGCACAGATGCTCTCTATAGCCCCAGGTTATCCAACACAGGGCAGAGTTTCTGGGCTGGTGGAGGGCGCTGGGCCTCTCTGGCCACCAGCCAGAGAGACACAAGGGCCGGAGGATGTCCCCAGAGCACTGGAGCAGGGCTATAATGGTGCGGAGAGGCAGGGCTCCAGAGGACATAGACTCCCTTATTGTAGATGTCCCCCGATTCCAGTCATACCCTGGGTGGTCTCAGACAAGTCCCTGCAGGGGCCAAGGTGTGTGCGTGCGTGCACATGTGCCTGTGTATGAGAATGAAGATCCTTCCAGGTGTGTTTGTGTGTGTGTCTGTATATATAAGTGTGTGTATGTATGTGTATATGGGGTGTATGTGTGTGTGTGTATATGTATGTGGTGTGTGTGTGCGCGCGCGTAAAAAGCCCAGGTAGTCTGTCTTTCCATTTCTCTTGCCCACACCCAGGCATCCGGCTCAGCTCTTGGCTTTGGGTGTGTGACCTCTGCGTTTAATTCTGGATACAACACACACAAAGTAGGCCCGGAGTTGGCTAGTGGCATCAAGGATAAAAATACTACAGAGGGTACCCTCCCCCATCCAAAGCTGATGTGAGCAACAGGGCTGACTGTGGAGCTGGACTCTGGGAAAAGCCACCTCTGACTGTCCCTGTCAAGAGCCAGGGTACAGCTGAAGGACAGCCTGTATCAGCCCCCTCCTCCTGGGCCAAGGGGAGTCTACCCTCTCTCACCTGCTCATTCTGTTCGGTTGTTGCTTTGGTGTGTGTGCCTGTTTGCACGGAAGGTTCCAGATGTCGTGTCTCTGCTGATGTCCTCCTTGCTTTCTTACCTGAAGCTCACCTCTTAGGCTAGGCTAGCGGCCAGCAAAGCGCCAGGAACCTACCCGTCTCGACCTCTCCAGTGTGGCCATGCCAAGTGTGATTCTTTTCTGGGGCTTGAACTCAGGACCCCTCAACGCTTATGTGGTGAGCACATCACCTGCTATTTCGGCTTACACATTTGTTTTTATTTATTTACTGTGCATGCATGTGCTTCTGCCCGTGTTTGTGCTCCATGCACCAGGACATGCGGCAGTGAGAGGTCAGGGGACAATTCGGACGTGTCAGTTTTGTCTTCTACCATGTGTGTTCCAGAATTCAGGTCAGAAGGCTTGGTGGCAAGCCTCTTACAGGCAGAGCCACCTTGCCTGCCCCTAGTCCCACATCTTGAAGGCTGAGAAGTCAGTCATAGGAACCTCTGGTGGCTGAGGCATGAAAAGGGGAGTCGTGCATGCCACACACATTTATTGAGCACCTACTGTGTGCCAGGTAGTTCTCGAGACCTGGAAAAGAAGGGCTGGGGCAGTCTGGAGTTGTCCCAGCTGAAGTTCTCCTCCCCAAACAAGTCCTGCAAGGGGCCAGGGACCCCTGCCTTGAAAAGTGGAAGGTCTAGTTCTACAAAGCAGAGACCTCTGGAAGTGGGGATCTCTGAGGCTGGCGCCGCCTTCTTCACTGCAGGATGAGACAGGCCCACCTCACCTCCTCTTCAGTACGGATATGCATGATTTCTTGAGGGGCCCAATCTGCAGGTGGGCGTCCACACTCTCCAGGAAGAAGGCGGGCTTGAGCCTGTGGTTGAAGAGCCCTGAAAAGTGGCTGTCCAGGCGACTCTGGAAAGGGTCAGTGGGGGAGGCCAGGGCACCACTGCGGCGTGGCTTAGAGGCTTTAAGCCTCCGAAGAAGGCCCAGTTTTCCGTCCTGAACGGCGTAGAAGGCCAGGGCATGGTCCGCGTACTCCAGGCAGACCCCAACCGTAGGTGAAAAAGCGTGAGGTAGTGGGGCCTCCAGCCCGCAGAACCAGACCGAGAAGCCACGCCCATTCCACTGCAGACAGCAGGAGAGTGCATTTCGGCCAAGGCGGCCCCGGTCATAGGGCTCTTGCGGAGAGAAACCCTCAGCCATGACGCCCACACTGACCCATCCTTCGATGATCTCTACCTCCCAGTAGTAGGTGCCCCGGTCCAGGGCCCCCTCTCCTAGCACCTGCTCACAGTGTGTGAAGCGGGTGGGCGACTCCGGGTAGTTGATGGGACATAATACCCTCTTGACACCCTTCGTTCCGAACAGCTGCAGGAACTTGTCTGCCGTGTCGCTGTCCAGGTTCACGATGTAGGCGACTGGACCCCACGGATGGGAGAGAGACACAGGTCACAGTCAGGCTCCGATGGGACAGTTCCCTGCAGGGACCCACCTCCCCCAAACACAGCTTGTCCAGCACTAATGGGGACCACCCGCGGAGATGACCTTGCTCATCCCAGAGATTAAGGAGGGGCTTCCCGAGCTCTGTGTTCCCGAAGCCTAGCAGCTAACAGAGGCGCTTTGGTAGCAGAGAGCGGGCTACTTACACTTGAGGAAATAGTCCCTGGGAGCCTCACTCTCCACCAGGCTGGTGCTGTCAGGGTCCTGGGATTCCACATCTGCTGGACCGAAAGGAGCGGTGTGGAAGCCATCTCTCCTGATACCCGTGACTGGCTGAGCGGCTACCCTCGGTAGTGCCCCACCCTACCTGTGGCTGTAATTCCCTCCACCCTACCTCCCAAAGCCCCCTGCTACATGGTGTCAGACACACCCATATAGGACCGTGTTCTCACACACATGTGTTGCTTGGTGTGTGTCCCGTGTTCCCCCCCTCCCCCCCCCCACCTTGCCTCCTTGCATGCAAGGCCTCTCTGAAGTTCGTGGCGAGCAAGAAGAATCCCCTCTGCCCCCTGTGTGTGTGTGGGGTGACCAGTTCCTGGCGGGGTTATGGCCCCCTCCCCCAGGCTAGACACTTTCCCTCCTCCATTCCCGGATTCTGGGAGCCTACATGGTATATCTGGGGGAGGGGTGTGGGTCATCTCGGAGGGGCACCCACCTTCTGAGCCATGTTTCTGCAGCTCGTCCTCATCGCTGCCCAGCCCCCGCAGCTGCTCCCACTGGCTGGCACAGGCTGAGACCAGGATGTCTCTCAATGTTCTGACCACTTGGGAGGACTTGGTGAAGTTGAGTTCCCTGGGGGGCCCAGGGCCAGGGCCGCACCCCTCCTCCAGGGCCAGCCGTAGCGCCAGGAGTTCCTGTACCAGACAAACGCCCCCTAAGGCTCTGTCGGCCATAGCTTCTCCCAGCCGGGGAAGGTAGCAACTGTCCTGGAAGGCCAGGTACCCATCGCCTCTGCCTTCATTTCTCAACCCCCACCCCTGTCACCTGGATTCCCCCTGTGGCTCAGGAGCTACCCTCACCTGAAGAAAGCTGACTGAGTCAGCTTCTGGAACCTGACTGAGGTTGTGACGCGCCCGGCTCAGGCGGCTGCGCTGTTCCTCCTGTCTCCGCAGGTCACCCTGGGAGCGGCCCAACATCGTGGCCTCTCCCTCCTCGATGAACCCCAGCACCTCGGTCTGGAAACTCTGTAGGGTGGCTGTGGCCTCGGCAAACATCTGGCTCACCCTCTCCCGCTCTGCCAAGGCAGCACTCTGCAGGATTGGAGAGTGGAGGCAAAGACCCAACCTGGCTTCAGATTCCTTCCCTGACTGTGTGTTGCCCCCCAAGTCCTACTGAGAGGACCAGTCCAAGCTCTGGATTTGAGCCGTGTCTCTGGAAACGGGGTGTTCCTGCTTAGTAGGGATGAACAGTTCCCAATCAGGGTGCTACCAGCTAAAAGTTTATGTGCAATTTCAGGGGCCTGCTTCAGGGGTGCCCAGGAGGGTTAGCGTGGGGTCTGACCTTGATGAGGGCCACGGTTCGGCGGGTCTGAGCAATGCTGGCGCCCAGTTCATCCATGCGGTCATCCACAGCACTCAGGACTTTGGACTGCTCAGCCTGTGGATGGAGCTTTGTGAGCCTGGTGTCTAATGACAAAATATGCCCAGTTCACCCCTGGTTCAGGTTTGTGCCATTCCCAAATGCCTGGCAAGGAAGCAAGCTGTGTGCCTCTGACTACCTGTTGATCAGAGAAGCAGTATAGGGCTATCTAAGGTTCTCTATTTATTTGGAATTTCCACCCCGGTGGGGTAGAGGCAAAGACTGAGAGAGTAGGTTTGGGGTGTGACTGAACTAGAGGGGAGCACTGGGGATTAGTTTCAAAGGAGCCTGCACCCCCGATCCAGCTCTGAAAATTGGGGATTCCGGGCAAATCCCTTGGGTCTTATGAGTCACAGCTCCAGGCCGGAGAGACGGAAAATCCCAGAGCTAGAGGCGCTAAGACTGGGATGGAGGCCAAAGGAAACTGGGGGTGGGAGGTGGTGGGACACTGGGCACATGCTCCCAACGGCCCCAGAACACTCGGACAGAGAAGTTCTGTGTGACCAGCCCAACCTCCATCGTGCTCCTGGTGCCTGCCACACCCATCCACAGTGGCTGACTAAGTCCAGGACAAATCTGAATTGGGACCAGCAAGAAGAGCTCCATCAGCCATGGGGCCACGCCCGCAGGCAGCCGCTCCTGGTCCCCACCGGCTCCAAGGGCCTAACCCAGATACCTCTGGCTTTACACCCACACTGACCCAGCTTCTCTCTCTGTCTCTGTCTGTCTCTTTCTCTCTCTCTCACACACACCCTCCTTTTCGGCTCTTTATCACTCTTTAATCTACTCAGCCGTCCCTTCTGACTCCCCTTCCCTCCACACCAGCCCCAGAGAAAGACACTGTAGACCGGAAGGGGTTGCAAAGATCCTCAAGTTAGAGAAGGAAACTAAGGCAGCGCCTGTTGAGTCAGAGATGAAACCCACGTAAAGGTGGGAACCAAGGAGAAACTAAGGCAGCGCCTGTTGAGTCAGAGAGATGAAACCCACGTAAAGGTGGGAACTAACTCCGCAAAGATGTTTTCTTAATCTCCACGTACACATCCACAAAAATAATAAAATGAACAAAAGACACAGCCCGCGGAGAGCGGGGGGGGCACACTAAATGGCTCTCCTGCCCCGCCTGTCACCCATCTCCACGTGCCCGTTCAAGGCGCCCACGCCCCACCTCCTGAAGCGCGCGCTCCTGCTCCAGCGGCACCAGCTCGTGGCCGCGATGCTCCTGAGCGGCACAGGCCTCGCACAGGCACACTCTCTCCACGCGGCAGTAGTGCTCCAGCGGGCGCAGGTGGCGAGGGCACAGGCTCTCCTCCAGCCGGCGCAGCGGCGGCACCAGGCGGTGACCGCGCAGCGCGGGGCTGCGTTCGTGCGGGGCCAGATGCGCAGAGCAAAAGGAGGCGAGGCAGGAGAGGCAGGAGAACTCGGCGGGCAGGGCAGCGCCCTCGGGGCACGCGTCGCAGCGCACCGGCTCTTCGGCCGACCAGGGCTCGGGTGCACAGGGAGCCGATGGCTCCGGAGCCGTAGGGGGTGCGCTGGGCGCGGAGGGCTCGGGCGTCGCGCCCCGGGCGGGGCCTGAAGCCGGGGTGGACATGGGTCCTGGACCCGAGCCCTGGCGGAGCTGCAGCAGCTCAGACAACGTGTGGTTCTTGCGGAGCTGCAGGCCGTCGGGGAAAGGCTCCTGGCACAGAGGGCAGCGGGCCGGACCTCCGGAACCACTAGTACTGCCCGCACTCCGGTGTGGCCAGAGCGCAACCAGGCAGGCGAGGCAGAAGTTGTGGCCGCAGGGCAGTGTCACCGGCTCCCGGAGTGGTTCCAGGCAGATGGGGCAGCTGAAAGGCCCGCTGCCGTCCATGGCTCCGCAGCTGCCCGGGCACCGCCTGTGCTGTTCCCGCCTGGGAGGGACCTGGGACGGTTCGCGCCCGGCACCGCCCCCTAGGACCAAGGCCAAAGGTCCAGCCCCTTCCAACGCCTCCGCAGTTCTGCCCGCCCCCACGGGGCAGCAGATGCGGGGCCAACCAGCCTTCCAGGGACACACAACCCTCTTGAGCCCTCCACTCCGCGTGGGCGGAGCGTGAAAAGGAGAGGACAAGGACGGAGGATGTGAGCGGGTGCATGGGGAAGAGGCTGGGAGAGAATCTCATCCTCTGTCCCCCACCTTGGTGAGCCCCGTGCCTCGGGAGAGGTGCGCAGGCACAGTCATGTCGCCGGTACCTTTGCCCTTACACCCCTCCCGGGTGCAGTTAGCAAAGTTCCCGAGCTGCTGACATATAGAGAAAAATCACTGCTGGTGTGTGTGGTTTTGCCTCCTTAGCGACTCTATTTACCCCCGCTAGGGAACCTGGTCTTGTCTAGAGCTGAAATGGGAAGCTGACATCACTGGACAAATCCCTTGTCTGAGGAATTTACTTCCGTTCATGCAAACTCGCGGGTGCCTATAGTTCCTAAAAGGAGGCACTGGTTAAGACTTGCCCAACTATGCATTTAGAGTGGTGCCTCTAATTGTAAGGATTTGTGTTTGTTTTGAGATTTAGTCTCTATATGTAGCCCGTGTTGGCCTAGAACTCTTCATCCTCCTGCCGCAGCCTTCCAAGCGCTGGGATCACAGGCTTATGCCATACATTTGCCTTCTTGTGTTGTTTTTGAGACAGGATCTTTTTTTGCAGGGGGATCTTGTTTTTTCTAGACAGAGTTTCTTATCCTTAGCTGTCCTGGAACTAGCTCTGTCGACCAATCTGACACTGAACTCACATAGATCCACCTGCCTCTGCCTCCCGAGTGCTGGGATTAAAGCCATGTGCCACCACCACCTGGCTGACAGGGTCTTTCTTTTTGTTTGTTTGTTTATTTTTCTTTTTCTTTTCTTTTTTTTTTTTTTTTTTTGGTTTTTCGAGACAGGGTTTCTCTGTAGCTTTGGAGCCTGTCCTGGAACTCCCTTGGTAGACCAGGCTGGCCTCGAACTCACAGATATCCGCCTGTCTCTGCCTCCCAAGTGCTGGGATTAAAGGCGTGCGCCACCACCGCCCGCTGTTTGTTTATTTTTCTAGACAGGGTTTCTCTGTAGCTTTGGAGCCTATCCTGGAACTAGCTCTTGTAGACCAGGCTGGTCTCGAACTCACAGATCTGCCTGCCTCTGCCTCTTGTGTGTCACCACTGCCTGCCAGCAGGGTCTTTCTTACATAGCCTTAATCAGCCTAGAATTTTTTTTTTTTTTTTCGAGACAGGATTTCTCTGTGGCTTTGGAGCCTGTCCTAGAACTAGCTCTTGTAGACCAGGCTGGCCTCGAACTCACAGAGATCCGCCTGCCTCTGCCTCCCAAGTGCTGGGATTAAAGGCATGCGCCACCACCTCCTGGCTTAGCCTAGAATTTTTTTATATTGGCCCTGACCTTCTGATCCTCATGCCTCCACTTCTCCAGACTGCAGGTGTATGCCTACATGCCTGGGTAAACTGACACTGTAAATGATACTTCAATAATGTTGAGTTTTATAATACAAGAATTCAAGTTGTCAAAATAATAACGATAATAAAGTTATATATTTTATTTACATATTATATATAATTTTATTATCATTATTATTCTTAAAAAGAGTGGAGCCTAGTGCTGGGGAGACAGCTGCTCAGTTGGTAAAATGCTGAGCAAATGTGAGGACCCGAGTTAGAATCCAGGGCCCATATTAAAGGAAAAAAAGAAAATAAAAAAAAAAGATGGAATAATGTCGTTATAACCCTAAACAAAAAATAAACATCCATGCTTATCTTCAGCTGAGATCAGCAGTGCCCGTACTGATAGCAACTGGATAAGACAAGAAGTAGGGGGCTAGTAGATACCTTTCCCATTCAGAAGAACCCCAAATAATTTCAGCAGGCTCTCCAAAATGAGGTCCTACTCCTTAGCTGTGCTCTAAGCACAGTGGCTTCCTCTTCCTCTTCCCCCTGTCTGCTGTGGAATATTACTTTAACTGTGTAAAGATGTGTTACATTTGTTTGTGCTGCCTTTGCTTCATTATGTAAAGACACCTTGCCTGCCTCGGGCACCCAATTGGTCTAATGAAAAGCTGAACAGTCAGTAGCGAGGCAGGAGAAGGATAGACGTGGCTGGTGGGCAGAGAGAATAAGGAGGAGGAGGAGGAATCTGGGCTTGGGAGAGGAGAGAATGGGGGAGAAAGAGAGGAAGATGCCAGGGCCAGCCAGCCAGCTGCCCCCACCAGCCAACCAGACACAGGAGGACATACAGAAGGAAAGGAAAGCCAGAGGCAAAACATAGATGAAGTGAAGCAGGTTAAGTTATAGAGCTGGTGGGACAGGCATAGGCTAAGGCCAAGGATTCATAACTAATATTAAGTCTCTGTGTCTTTCTTTGGGAGCCATTTGGTGGCCCAAAAGAAAGCCTGCTGCAGCTACCTGGGTAGCACAATGGCTTCTAAAGGCAGGAAAGGAGCACTTTCAGTGGGTCACTCTAACACACCTTACCCACGCAATCCTGGTCAGTACCAGCTGCGGTCAGTGACACCACTGCATAGAGCCTGGTGTGATGATGGGATGGGATGGGACAGGATGGGATATGAGCTTCCTTGCCCAAGACACATGACCTCCCAAGGGCTGCCATTACATTTGTGCCCCACCTGGCTAAAGACGTTCACTCGGGGGCTGCAGAGGTGGCGTGTCAGGTAAGAGCACTTGCTAGTTTGGCTGAGGACTCGGGTTCAGTTCATAGCATCCGCCTCATTGGGCTCACAACCATCTGTAATTCCAGGTTCAGGGCATCCCACACCCTCTTCCAGTCTCCGAGGGCAGTCAGTGCACATGGCGCACACGACGACATGCAGGCAAACACTCAGACACATAAAATAAATATTCACGATTTTTTTTGTTTTGTTTTTTGAGACAGGGTTTCTCTGTGTAGCTTGGAAGCCTGTCCTAGAACTCGCTCTGTAGACCAGGCTGGCCTTGAAGTCACAGAGATCCGCCTACTTCCTGATCCGCCTCCTGAGTGCTGGGATTAAAGGGGTGTGCCACCACTGCCAGCTAACATATCTTTAAAATAATAAATAAATAAATAAATTCATCTTTATATAAAGATACAAGAAAACAGGTTAGAGTCCACCCTCCTCCAGCATGCTCTCATTCAAACCTGATTACAAATGATAAGACCCTGTTTCCAAATAATGTTCCAGCCACAGGCTTGAGGATTAGGACCTGGATATGTTATTAATGGAGGAGCCCATGACCCATAGTGGTGCACACGTCAGGGGCAGCGTGGAGCCTCACTCAGGCCCGCAGGGCCAGCGGTGGTCATTCAGGTCTCCCCTGTGTGCCCATCTCTCCCTGTATTCTGGGGCCCCACTCCTTATACTGTCTCAGTGGCACACTGCTGCTCCCCCCCAATTCCTCCTCGCCCAGTCCTCTAGCCAGGCCAGTATCATTGCTTCTGTTTCCCCAGCTTATCTGTGCTTAGAGATGGGAAAATTTCCCTCAGTCTCTGGGATCAGGCTGGAAATTTTTAGTTAGTACTTAAGTCAGGAGCCAAAGGGGAAACATAAACAAAACAGCACACACACACACACACACACACACACACACACACACGTCCCAGTTTGTGTGCTGTTTTTCAGTGCTGGAGCTTGAATCCAGGTCTTTGTGCGTGTTAGGCAAACACTTTAACCACTGAGTTACACCCAGTGCTGGCTAAGTTCACGTCAACGTGACACAGGCTGGAGTCATCTGGGAAGAGGGAGCCTCAGCTGAGAAAACGCCTCCATGAGATTGGACTGTTGGCAAGTCTGCCATGCATTTTCTTAATTGGTGATTGATGTGGGAGGGCCCAGCCCACTGTGATGGTGTCACCCCACGGAAGGTGGTCTTGGGGGGCTATGAGAGAGAGGCTGAGCAAGTCATGGAGAGCAAGCCAGTGAGCTGCACTCTCCCGTGGCCTCTGCAACAGCTCCTGCCCTGCCTTCTCTGGATGACAGACTGTGAGCTGTAAGAAGAAGCAAAACTCAAGCTACTGATGGCTCTGGTGTCCAATTATAGCAACAGAAACCTAAGACCTGTCCCAGAGTCTGAATCCCCACAGAAAAAGACAGAGCTGGGAGGTGGAGGCAAGAGGATCCTGGGAGTTTGCTAGCCATTCAGTTTAGCCAATAGGTGAGATTTAGATTCCGTGAGAGACCTGCCCTAAACAGTAAGGAGGAGGGGCTGGATAGGCAGCTTGGTAGTTAAGAGCACCAGCTGCTCTTCCAGAGAACCCAGGGTTCAATTCCCTGCACCCACGTGACGGCTCACCACTGTCTGTAACTCCGGTTCCAAGGGATCTGGTGCCCCCGTCTGGCCTCTGTAGGCACTGCACATACATGGTGAACAAATAATATTCAGGGAAACACCCATACACACAAAATAAAAACAAATAAATATAAATGTTTAAAATAATGAGAGAGTACTAGAGGAAAGAATCTGGTATTGACTCTGACCTCCACACGCACATGGACTCACCCCCTCCCCCAAAATGTTGGTGGTGACAGCACACACTTTTAATCCCAGCACTCGGAAGGCAGAGACGGGAGGATCTCTGAGTTCAAGGCCAGCCTGGTCTACAGCGTGAGTTCCTGGACAGCCAGGGCTACACAGGGAAAACATGTCTCGAAAAACAAAACAAAGTGTGCAGTCTAGTGCTGGCATGGTCAAAAATGTTTAGCACTCGGTAGGTAGAGGCAGGAGGATGAAGGATTTAAAGCTAACCTCAGCTACATAGTGAGTTTCTGGCTAGCCTAGTCTACATGAAAGGCTGTCTCAAAAAAGCCAAAAATATCCAAATATAAAGTGTATAGTCTAGCCAGCGTGGCGGTACTCGCCTGTAATCCTAGCATGTGAGAGGCCAGGCCAGGAGGTTCAGTTCAGGGCCAGCTTA